AAAATTTGGATTGATACTCGAAGGAAGGCAGTGTTTAGTTCTGCTGTGGACATCTTTCGTGATTTGAAACCATTCAGTGCTCCCTTCTGTTTAAACAACTGCCTCTTGGTCTGTGTACAGGTTCCTCGTGAGCACAATAAAGTATTCCGGAATACTCATTCTCCACAATGTTGTCCATAGCTTGTCATGATCCACACAATCAAAATCTTTGTGTAGTCAGTAAAACACAGGTAAACATCTTTCTGGTATTCTCTGATTTCAACCAACATCCATCTAATGTCAGCAATGATATCCCTCGTTCCACATCCTCATCTGAATCCAGCTTGAATCTCTGGCAGCTCTCTGTGAATGTACTGTTGCAGTCATTTAAAAAAATACCTTTAGCAAAATTATGCTTGCTAATATTAATGATACTGTTTAATCCAAAAGTGAGGCTTCAGATTTTCAGTGAGCATCTCACTATAATAAGCACTGTTGATTGTTGAACCTTTATCCTCATACTGTTGCAATACTGACCCTTAAGAATCTCAGAAAACTGTAAACATTAATTTTCCAGCTGATGGTTGACTTTTTTTTTTTTTTTTAAGTTTTTATTGTGAATTGAGTGATAGTTTACACGGGAAAACATCAGCTTTACATTCATCCTATCGTATTTAATTTTGTTGCAATGATTACAATCCCTTCCATGCATCATCATTCAACAGCACTTGCTTCCATTCCCTCTGTTTTGTTTTTTTGGGATGTACACCGAAGCACTCAGGAATATGTAACCATTCACACAACCAAAGGGTATACCCGGAAAACCTACCCCACCCCTGGCCATCAGCACACAGCCCCTCTCCCTCCCTGAGTCCAGAGTCCCCAGCCGCTCCTTCTCTCCATGTCATCGTCTCTACCTCTACCTCTGACACCACTGCTTCTCTGGGTAGCGTCCCGCACTCTGCTCTTCTCTCTTGATGGTCCCAGAGTCCTCTGCTCCTGGACTGCAAGATCAACCACTCCCCTCCTTTTGTTACAAAATGTCTACCTTTACATTTGCAACACTCATAGTTGGTCCTGATAGCAATTACACTATTGAACCACAAGAGTTTTATCCCCATGGTTGACGTTCCAGCTTTTTCTTGGTTGGTAATTGAGGATGTTTCTATTCCACAGTCTGCTGTTTACTCTGACTCATAGTCATGAATCATCACCAGTAATGAGTTTTTTAAAAGACAATTTTACCTTCCTTCGAGCATCGATCCAAATGTTGTTTTCAGATGTCCAAACGCTTCTGTTTATGCTCTTCCGTGAGTTGCTTCCGTACCCATCTCGCCCTAGGTTTTGGGAACCCTGCTGATTTGCAAATGATTTGCCACATAATCCACTGTCAGAATCCGTTTCGTCATTTCATGTGCATACTCAGTGTTGCCATTAGCGGTGGACGTGGAAGGGCACTTTAATATGACTAGAATGTGGATAACATTTAATTCACCCTCATAAAATGAAACGAATACTAGCCATTTGGCAGGGATCCTGTGACGAACACATGCACGGACTCGTTTATAGTCTCTTTAGTTAGCACCATGCACATGTGCATACGGCTTGCTATGGAAACTGCTGTGCTCACCAAACGAACATTCTGGGGGAGGTTGACTGCAAACAGATGAGAGGGAGCCACATGGGAATGAAACAGATGTCTTGATGGAGACCAGATGGTCAAAGAAGGCCTTGCTAGTCTCAGCGACCATGTGTCAGGGCTAGAGGGCAGACCAGGAGACCCAGAGAAGAGGCGATCCAGACAGACCCAGACCTAGAGACTCCAAGAGACCTAGAGAGATCCAGAGACCTTCAGATCTAGAGATTGTCAGACTAAGAGACCCCCCCAAAACCCAGAGTCACATAGTCATTCAGAATAAGAGACTCAGAGACACCTAGAGAGATTGAAAGACTGAGAGAGCCAGAGAGCACGGGACACTGAAAAAGCCTGAGAGGCACACAGAGGACACTTGGGATCCAGAAACCCAAAAAGTCCCAGAGACTTAGAAAGAACCAGCATCACAAAGAAACTCAGAGATGCTGAAAGACCCAGAGATCCAGAGACCTCAAGACTCAGGAATACTGAGAGGCTCCGAGAGACACAGAAATCCAGAGGGACCCAGAGACACCCCAAATTTTAGCGATACCTAGTGACTCAAAGAGATGTAGATTCAGAGACCCAGAGACCAAAAAATCTAGGCTTCCAAGAGAGATCCGGAGAGACCCACAGATCCAGAGAGTTTGAGGGGCTCAGAGAGGCAGTGAGACACAGAAAGGGAGGGGCAGTACCAAGGAGTGGTGCCCTTAGGGCCAAGGCCTGAGAGTGGGTACAAAGCCGAGATGGGATACAGCAAGCCTCCTGGGGTGCTGGGTGTGGTAGAGTTAGAAGTCAGCTTGTGGGGTCTGGGGACCTGGGGGACCTTGCTCTGCCCTCATCACCCACCTGGCTTAGCCCACAGCCCTTCACCCCAGGGCCAGATCCCTGGAGCCTCCACTTCCTAATCTGAAAAATGCCAACATACATACAGTTCAAGTACTTTAACTTCAGTGCTTCCACGTCTATTAAAAACATATTTTCAAAGTTACTTGTCAAGTGTGGACAGTCATGCAGGCCCTGATGGCCTCAGGTTTGATGTTAGAACAAAATGAGTGAAGAGGACCTCCTGGGCGGAAGTCTGATGGTCACTGATAGAAGCCTGCTCTCCCACCTCAGGCTCTGCCTTCAGGTTCTGCAGTGGAAGTTCCCAAGGGAATTAGGAAGAGACTGTGGCCTTTAGGAATTGCACCGTCAAGAAAATATCCTTTCTTGCTTTCAGGTTTTAGGGTTTCTGTACCAAAACACAACAGGTATTTGGGTGGATCAAAAAGTTTGTACTCCGCTACTGGTGTGGCGCTGTGGGCTAATGCGTCAGACTTCCAAGTCGTTTGAACTGCAAGGTCAGTGGTTTAAGCTCACCAGCTGCTCCTTGGAAACCCTATAAAGGGTCTCTATGGGTCAGAATCGACTCGGGAGCACTTAACAACAACAACCACTCTAAGCACTGGACGGAAAGGTCGATTTGAACTGCGAAGTCGGCGGTCGTTCCTTCGGAAACCCTATACACGGTCGCTGTGAGTTAGAACCGACTCGATAGCATTTAACGGCTTGCGCCCTCCCAGTGGCGCCGAGGGGGAAAAGCCTGGCGTTCTGCTGCAGTAAAGATCGCAGCCAAGTAAACACTATGAAGCAGTTCTACTCCGTACCACATGGGATCGCCACCAGTCGGATTCAAGTCCGTAGTCACAGGTTTTTTGCTTTTTGTTCCCAAACAAACACAGACATACCCAGTGACCCTGCCCTAACAAGGCAATTCATCAGTGAATTAAAGTTTTTCCATCCAAGCCCAGGCCTCATCCCCGCATTTTGTACTCGGGATCCGCATCATCAAGGGTGGGGAGGTGCCTTGTCTAAGCTCCAGGTTGGTCCTGAACCTTTCAGGCCTAGGAGCCCAGCTGACCTGCACCTTGTTGTTGTTGTTATGTGCCGTGGAGTCGGTTCCGACCCATAACGACCCTGTACAGGGTTCCCGAGGCTGTAAATCTTTACAGGAGCAGAAAGCCTCATCCTTCTCCCGCAGAACAGCTGGTAGTTTCGAACTGCTGACCGTGATGTTCGCAGCCTGATTCGTAACCACTACACTCACCTACTCCGCTTTAAAGACCTTAGGGAGCTTCAGGTGACTCTCTTCCCGGCAGGTAGAGGTAGGTGGTGATGACAAGCCCCACCCACTCCACAGGAAAGAAGCTGATTGGTGGAGGACCGGCGAGGCGGGGCAGCCCTGAGGCTATATTAACGCGCTCCGGTCGCCGACTGTTAAGCTGTAGGTAGTTGCTGAGCTCAGGTAAACCATCCGGGAACCTAGGTGGACTCCGCCGGGGTGGGGAATGGGGCACCTTCCCTTGAGCCTTTTAATTGGTGTCTCTCCAGGGTCGGAATGTTTAGGGGAGTAGCTTGAAATGCTGGACTAACGCTAAACCCAAGTATTTGCCTACTATCATTCCTTTCTTTGGGCCTCAGTTTCCCCATCTATGAATTAAGGAATTGGTGGACTTTTCAACTCTGCCGCTTTGGTGCGGGGTTGTGAGTTGGGGGCTAGAGGAGCGGTTAAGCTCTTGGGTTTTTGGAATCAGGCTGTGAGATTTCCCTGCCTCAGTCTGTAAAATGGGTATAACATTGTACTTTCTTTCCAGGATGAGATAATGTTGTTGTTAAATGCGTCGGGTCGGTTCCGACCTGTGTAGGGTTTCTAAGAAGCGGCTGGTGAGCTTGAACCGCCGTCCTTCCAGTTCAAAGCGTTTTGCAGTCTGGCGCATTAACTCACAACATCACCCCAGGACGTCAGGATGGGATAAGCTAGTGTTAAAACATTTATCTCAGCTCCAGGCACTGAGTAGCCCCATAGTTGCTATTCTTCCTACTCCCCTGGGGCCTAATGGGGGATACCAGGAGACCAGTGGGGCACTATTATTTCTTGGAACTCTTCTTTTCTGCTCTCACCACCCCACAAACTTCCCTTGTTGTTCCTTCCAAGTTGCCTTGCCCATCCCTCCACCTTTTTAAAACATTTATTTACTTTTTAAAGCTTTTTATTGTGAATTGAGTGAGGGTTTACAGAGCAGATCATCAGTTTTACATTCAATCAAATCGTAGACTTGGTTTCATCACAACTATTGCAATCCCCTCCAGGTATAACATCAGTATCTCATTTCCTGGCTGCACTTCTTGTTTCCATATCATCTTCTTTTCCCAATCTTTTTAATTTTGTGCTTAGGTAAACGTTATCCTTGTCATCTTGAATCTCCCTACCTTTTTGAGGTCCCCTGTCCTGCACACCTCCTCCTGTTTTTTCAGGGAGTTGGGGGCAGGTGCTAAGTCCTCTGGCTGCTTTCTCTGCAGGTCACCCTATACCGTCCCATCCTGCCATATCCCCACCCCCTATGAGATGAGTGTCATCCAAGGTCCTGCCACTGTCCCTGAGGTTGCCACCCAGGTGAAACTGGGGGGCTGGAGCTGTCCAGGTAGGGACAGTACGTCTTTCCTTTCCCGCCAGCACCGGGAATTCCAGGCCTTCCTTCACCTTCTGGGTGAGTTTACCTGACTGGCTTGACAGGGGCTGTGGGGCCAAGTGTGAAAATACGTGAGGGGTGGGACCTGAACCTGCCCCCTCCTATCAGGTGACCCTGGTTGGCAGGTGTGAGGGACTGGTGTCAGTGAAATCTTGGGCTTTGGCACTCTGAGACCATTCTTGGGGGGTGGTGGGGGCGGGGATAACTGGGACTATTCCTTTTTCACCTTCAGAGGACAATTTTCTCCAGGAATTCCTCTCCAAAGATCCCTGTTTCCAGATCTCTGATAAGGTGAGAAGGGCAGGGTGCAGGTAGCGGTGAGGGCTCATGGGGAGACAGTTTCATTCTGCTACTTTTTTAAGGACCTCTCTGGTCTGGTTATAAATCCCTATATGATGCATATAGCCTGCAATCTAACAGTTAGTAGTTCTAATCCACACAGTAGCATTGCTGAAGAACCATCTGGCAAACTGTTTTCATAAAGACTACAGCCAAGAAAGCCCTATCCTATACCACATGGGATCGCCATGAGTTAGAATCACAGTGGGTTTGGGTGTTTGGGGAGTTCTTGTCTGGTGTGGGGAGCATCTTTTCTTCCACCAATCAGAATTTCCTAGGGTACAAATGGCCTGGCCCCTAGACCCCTCTGTCTCTCCACAGTATCTCCTCGCCATGGTACTGGTTTACTTTCAACGTGCCAACCTGCAGCTCAGCGAATACACCCACAGCAACCTGTTCCTGGCACTGTGAGTCAGGGATGGCAGAGGGGAGACTTGTGGGGAGTTGTAGGATGGGGCAGGGCAGATGCTATGGTCTCTGCTCTCTGACCCTGTGACTCTGTGATCAGGTATCTTGCAAATGACATGGAGGAGGACCTGGAGGACCCCAAGTGTGAGATTTTCCCATGGGCGCTCGGTAAAGATTGGCGTCCTAAAGTGGCAGACTTCCTGCGCCAGAGGGACAAGTTGTGGGCCCGGATGGGCTTCCGGGCTGTTGTGAGCCGCCAGTGCTGTGAGGAGGTAAGGGCTGGGGGTATCCTTGGGCCGGAGAAAGAGGCTAGGCATGCCACTCCACTGACCACCCAACTCCTTTCCTCCCAGGTCATGGCAAAGGAGCCATTCCACTGGGCCTGGACTCGGGAGCGGCGTCCACACCATGGGGTTGCTCAGAGGGGCTGCTCAGAGGTCCCGGTCTCCCTACCCCGGGGCCCTGGGCTCTCTCCATCCCCCTGCTTCCTCTGTGGCTTGGCCCCCTTCCAGTGCCATGCCCCCTTGCCTGTCCCATCCAAGTACCCCTCTCTAACCTCTGTGTGGCATCCTCCTCCTTCCCAAGCTGGTCTCTCAGTGGCTGAAGGCCCCTGGGGTGGGAGCTTCCTCATTGTCCTGCCTGCCCAGCTGCACCTGGAGCCAGGCACCTACACCCTCCACAGTGAGTAGGGGGCAGAATTGAGGGGAGGGGCACATGGGCCCTCCGAGCTCTGGGAGTTTCTCACTGGGCAGCCTGCCACTCTGAGCCTCAGCCCTTCTCCACCCAGTTCTTCTAGAGGCTCCGCTCTACCCTGGGCCCTGACACTTGGAAAGGCAAAGAACAGCTGCCCGTGTGTGTCTGCTGACCTGAGGCTCCACTGGCTGTGGCCCCTGGTAGTGCTGCCCACACCCCACCTTGCCCCTTTCTCCCAGGCTACAACTTGTACCCACCCTGGCTCCAAATAAACTCATGTCCACAGGACACCAACTGTGGACTGGCCTGGCTCCTTGGTTCAGGGGAGGAGGTGGGAGGGGGTTAATGGGAACAGGGACCCGCTAGGGTCTGGCCTGTGCCCATCTCATGGGAGGGACCTGGGCCAGTTATCACGGTCCTAAACCTCAGTTTCCCCTCACCACCCATAGATGATGAGAGTTATGTGGTGTGGATGGAATGAAATGAGGAGCATCCAGCCCTTAGGAGAGGGCCTGAAACCTATTTGTTTATTTGTAGCTTTTTATTGTGAATTGAGTGAAGGTCAACAGACGAGATCATCAGCTTTACAGTCAACAAATTATATGTTTTGTTTCATCTTGCTGATTACAATCCCTCTTTGCAACAACAGTTTTCCTACTTCTCTTCCTTTTGGCATCTTCTCTCTCACTAATGAACAAAGCAAAACTATTTGATGTACACATACAAAACAAAAAATATATATTCATTTAAATGTCTTAGGGCATATTCCGCAAGCCAGCCTCCTGCCCGCAAGCACACAGCCTGACTCAGTCCATGGGCCTAGAGTCTGCAGCTGCTCTGTCTCTCCAGGCCACCGCCTCGGCCACCGTCTGTCTCTGCTGTTGCCACTTTTCTGAGTAGGATCTCAAACTTAATTCTTGCTCTTCCTTCTTGATGGTCCTGGGATCGTCTGTTCCTAACCTGAACGATGAACTACTCCCCCCTTTTAGTTATACATCTTCTACAGTTACAGTTGTGACAATCATAATTAATCTTGCTAACAATTACAATTGAATCATAAAATTCTATAAGCATCACCCCCCATCCTGGAACCCATTAAGAAATAACAACTCAAAAGGAAAACAGTTCTATAGACTGTTCAAGAAAATTCTTAAAGAGCCACGCCTGTTTAGGAATAAAGCTTGGTCCCTACCCTTGGTTGCAATGAAATAGAATGTAGTGTTTTTAACACTTTCCTCCCCACCAAAAAAAGACAATTGGGACCCAGAAGAATGACCTCTTATGGGCCATGGGGAAGGCTCCCCAGAAGAGGTGGCATTTCACCTGGGCCTTGACCAATGTCATTTGCCTGTGGAGGGCAGGAGAGGGATATTCTTGGAAAGACAGTTCAGTAATTAACACTTGCTTTCTGGAGCCAAGCATAAACTCAGCATGTGACAATCTATTTCCCTGTGCCTTTCTTGATCTGTAAAGTGGGTGTTATTCTGAAATGGATGTTCTGAGATTTGAGTGAATTAATATGCAGAGAGGTTTAGAATGACAGGAATAGACACTCAGATGTGGGTCAAGGATGTTTCCAAAAAAAAGAATTGTTGCTCAGCTCACAGGAAGGCTGAAGAGGAGGGCCTGTTTGAGGAACAGCTGGAATAGGGGATGGAGGAGAAATCTCCAACTCAGGTGTTGGGAATCTGGACAAAATTTCTCTTCCAGCTTTGTGAGAGGTTCCCAAGGGGCAAGAGGTAAGCAAACCTGGAGAAGGAGGAGATTAGGAGCCAAGACAAGGCTTAAAAAATACTTTTGGTTTATTGTTTAAGTAGTATATTCACACATACCTTTTGAATTTTGAACCAAGATTCACCCTCCTACTCCTGTCCCCTAGCTACCTGGTTCCCCTCCCTGGAAAAAAATGACAATACTTTCTTATGTGCTTCCAAAGAGTCTAAAGATACATAACCAAATTAGTAATTTTTATTGAGGTGAATTTTGTAGACCATAAAATTAACCATTTTAAGGTTACAAATTCGATGGCATTTAATACATTTTCAATCTTACGCAACTGCCACCTCTGTCTAGTTCCAAACCATTTTCATTGTCCCTAGAATGAAAGCCTGCACCCATTTCTCCTGTCCCCAGAGGCTGACTCTATGGGTTTGTTGTACTGTGGTGGTTTGTCTCTAGCTGTGACAATGGAAGTTTTGTCACTGGTATTTCAACTACCAACAAGGCCACCCATGGTGGGCAGGTTTCAGCAGAGTTTCCAGACTAGCATAGACTAGGAAGGAGAACTTGGTGATTGACTTTCGCAAAACTGCCCAGTGAAAACTTTATGAATAGCAGAAAAAACATTGTCTAATACAGTACTAAGGAGCTCTGGTAGCGTAGTGGTTACGAATCGGGCTGCGAACCTTAAGGTCAGCAGTTCGAAACTGCCAGCTGCTCCGCGGGAGAAAGATGAGGCTTTCTACTCCCGTAAAGATTTACACCCCCGGAAACCCTGTACAGGGTCGCTATGGGTCGGAACCGACTCGACGGCACTTAACAACAACAACAACAATACAGTACTGGAAGATAAGCCCCTCAGGATGGAAGGTACTCAAAAACACAATTGGAGAAAAGCTGTACTTTGGACATGTTATCAGGAGGGACCAGTCCCTGGAGAAGGGCATCATGCTTGGTAGAGGGTTAGCAAAACAGAGGAAGCCCCTCGAGGAGATGGATGGACACAGCGGCTACAACATGGCCTCACATACAACAGTACAACTGTGAAGCTGGTGCCTAGGATCACTGTGAGTCAGAAGCAACTCAGCAGCATCTAAGAAGAGCAGACTTTTCATGTAAATAAAATCTTACAATCCGTGGCCTTTTGTGTCTGCCTTCTTTGATTTAGCATACTGTTTTCTAGTTTCATCCATATTCTAGCAAGTATCAGTATTCTTTCCTTCTTATGGCTAAATAATACTCTGTCTCAGCACATTTTGGCAATCCATTCATCTGGCAATGGATGGAAGGTTTGTGAAGGTGATTGTGGGGCACTTGAGTTGAACTAGAAGATTATAAGGCAAGGGCTGGCCTTTGCCACCCTTCAGTGCATCTTTCTCTCCTGCTCCTGATCCAGGAACAAAGAACTTGCAGTTCCCCTTATTGGTGTGTGCTCCCCACTCTCTAGACTTTTGCTGATGTAGTTCTTTCTGCTTGTAACAGTTTACCCAGCATCTCTTGCCTGGTTGGTTAACCCTTGCTTGTTACCAACTCAGCATCTTTAATCCCCAGCCCTGGGCCTAGAGGACCTTCTCCTGCAGAGGCCCCTGGTCGGCCTTAGTCACAGGTCTCTGCAGGGCAAACACCTGCCATGAAAGGCTGAGTCAAAGTTAGGTGCAATCATGCTGGTTCCAGCCCTGACTCACCAGGTGAGGCCCTCAGGCAAGGCACACCCCTTTGGGGCCTCAGCTGTAAACTGAGGGGGAGAGTGTCGGATCAGTGGTTCTTAATCTGTTTGGGGTTGCGGATCCTACAAGCCTAGAAAAGCTATGGGCTATTTCCAAAGCAAAATGCTAGGTGTGCATATATCCTATGAAGTCTGTAGCAGTCGCTGGGCTGGGGAGCCCCCAGGGCGGTGCAAATCCCTGAGCTGGGGACCCCCACCCCTGATTACTGCGAAGGCAGCAGGGTCTCCGGGTCCTGGGTGAATCTGCTGTCTTGGCTTCTGCCTCTGCCTCCCCTCCTTGGGTCAAGCCTCACACATGGATGCTCCCAGGTGGGTGGGAGAGAGGGCAGGGATGCTGGTCTCGTGACACTTCCTTGCTCCAGAACGCTAGAGACAGGCGGGACCCACTGTAGCTCGCTGCACGAACGGGGTGGGGAGTCGAGAGAGGCAGGGACGTACCCAAGGTCACGGAGCAAGTCCCGGCCTAGAAGCCATGTTCCCCGCTCCCTGAACGGACTCCGGGAGCCTCCAGGACGGGGGCGGGGAGGTGGCCTGCCCGGAGCCGGCCTGCAGTGCGACCCACGGCTGTGGCGCTGCCTTGAGTAGGGCGGCCGGCAGGGTCAGCTCGTAGCTGCCGCAGTCCAGGGAATCTCAGCCCAGCGCTGGGGCGACGGGTGGGGACGGGGACAGCTGCAACCGCGTGCCCCGTCGGGGCGCGATCCGGGTGGGGCCGGCCTTGCAACTCGAGCCGCGGCCCCGGTTAAAAATACCCCCGCCTGCCCGCGCCCCTCCCCCGCCTGCCCTTATGTCCCGGCCCCTCCTCGGGGACAGGTCTGCCGCTTATTTGTCCTCTCCCAGAGTTGGCCCGGGGCCCGCGGAGGGAGGGGCAGGAGCCACCGTGAGTAAGAGAGATAGTCCGAGACGGGTGCTCGGGAGATAAGGGTACGCGGAGAGGAAGCGGGGCCGGAGCCCGGGAAGAAGGCGGAGAGTGGAGGGCGGAGGGGCGAGGGAGGAGGAAGGCGGGGAGGAGCGCTCTTCCTGGTTGGGCCCTACCCTGAGCTGCCACCGGGAAGCTAGCCGCAGGGACCGCAGCGGACCCCCAAAAGCCCCCTCCCCAGGTAAGGAGCTGGGTAGCCCGGCTGGGAGCCACTGCTCCCTGGGCTGAGGGACTGGCCTCCCGAGTGTCTGGGTCACAGGCGGAGACTCTGGAAGGGTGTTGCCCCAATCCTCCCCAGCCTTGTTGCTGTTCCCTGGGGCTACACGAGTGGGCAAGGCTTTGGCCCCAGCCTGGCTCAGCGGCCTGGGGAGGGGTACCCAGCCTGCCTGAAGTTCCCAGCCTGGACCCCGGGGGGGGGGGTGGTGGTGGTGGAAAAAAGGTCCATTGTAGCCGGGAGCGTGACTGATTTGGGGAGGGGTTACAGAGACAAGGAGGGCGTCCCTGTGTTGCTGTGGGCCCCACCTGGTGGGGCTGTGACCACTGGGCTTCAGGAGTAGGACAATGAGAGCTGGGAGAGATGACAGTAAACCTTGAGTCTGTGAGGGGAGCACTTGTCCCAGGTTTGGGGAGGATGGGTGGGCAGGGCTAGCAGGCAGAAGGGGGGGTGGAGGGGTGCTTGAATTCTGGCACAGTCTGGGTTCTGAGCAGGCCGTCGGTCCCCCAGGATGGCGGAGGAGATCATCACCCCTGTGTACTGCACTGGGGTGTCCGCTCAAGTGCAGAAGCAGCGGGCCAAGGAGCTGGGATTGGGCCGCCATGAGAACGCCATCAAGTACCTGGGTCAGGATTATGAGCAGCTACGGGCTAGATGTCTGCAAAGCGGGGCTCTCTTCCGAGACGAGGCCTTCCCCCCGGTGCCCCAGAGCCTGGGCTACAAAGAGCTGGGCCCCAACTCCTCCAAGACCTATGGCATCAAGTGGAAACGACCCACGGTGAGAGGGACTGGGTGGGGCTCAGCTGACCATAGACCTGGTGTGAGGGGAGTGGGGTCTGGGATGGCTGGGTGCCAGTTTCTGGGAAGGATAGGCCCTGGGACAGGACTCTGATTTCTTCTGCAGGAGATGATCTCAAACCCCCAGTTCATCGTGGATGGGGCCACCCGCACAGACATCTGCCAGGGAGCTCTGGGTAGGCCCCAAGGATTCTGGGTGTTTTATCCTAGGAGATCCCTATTCCCGTTCCTTCCCCCAGAACGTTCTCTAGTACCGCCCTCTTGCAAGTCTAGGCTGGCTCTGTTTGCCCACTGAGCTGGTTTGCCCAGATTCCTAGGATCTTTTCTGTGAGTTTAGAGGTAGAGGAGTTGGTCATATCCCTGCCAATAAAATTCCAGGTTCTCCCCAGCATGGGAACTACACGCACCTCCAGGGGCAGATTGGTAGAGCAGATTTAAACAGATCTTCCTTCCTCCCATCCCAGGGGACTGTTGGCTACTGGCTGCTATTGCCTCCCTCACCCTAAACGACACTCTTCTGCACCGAGTGGTCCCACATGGCCAGAGCTTCCAGGATGGCTATGCTGGCATCTTCCACTTCCAAGTGAGGCATCTGCACACGTGTGTGTGTGTGTGTGGGGGGGGGGGGTGTAACCAAGGGAGGTGAGGATGGGTGGCTCGAACAGCAGTATAGATCCAGGGTGGTCAAGGGCCACACCCCTCTGGTGCCAGACCTTCTTGAAGGTATTTGACTTGTCGATACCATCTCTGGTCTGTCATGCATGAAACGGTTGGGCAGGTATTTCAACTATTTCAACTAGCAGTCTTCCGGGTGGTAGTGAGGGTCAGGGAGAAAGTGTTGTAAAGAGTAGAAAGAACTCTGTGTTATATATCTGGAGGACTACTCCTTTTCCTTCCCTGAGCCTCAGTTTCCCCCTTTGAAAAATGGGGAAGTGTTCCTCTGGGGAGAGCAAGCCAGTGCCATCCCCACCTGCAACCTCACCCCCTCCAAGCACCTCGTGGGCCTTGGCTAACAGCCTCTGCTGACAGCCCTGAAGAAAATACACAGTCGGATTGAGTCCTTTTAAGCCAGTTTTTCCTGATTTTGCGCATACGGCCCATTTTTCGAGTTTCACTAATTAATTCTGAAAGAGCTGATGTTGGGAGAGACCACGCCAGCAACCTTCTGGCCCTAGTGGCCCCAGCCCTGCCCCGGGGGTCCTAGGTTCCCCTCCTTCCACCTTGTCGGCCAGCTCCGGAGCTCATTCCATCCCCACCCACCTCAGAGGGGTGGAGCCGGAGGAGGAGCCCGGTGGAGCCTGAGGCGACCCACAGTGCGGCAGGCTCTCTTTGGCTAAACGCCCCACCTGACCCGGCGCCAGCCCGCAGGGGCGTGGCCTCGCGGCCCTTATCCCCACCCCTTCCCTCCTTCCCGGTCCTGCCTCCTCCCCTTTCCCCAAAGTCTAGCCTGAGGCCGCTCATATACAGTGTAGTGGGTTTCTAGTCCGAGGCATTTACCCTCGCTTGGCATCTCTGAAGTAAATCCCGTGATTTTGGGAAACCAGCCACACCCATCTTCTGTTTTAACAGTGCCCATGTTGTGTTTTGAGAGTTTGGATGCCAATTTACGTACCTATCCTGCCCGAAAAACCATCATACCTAGGAGGGGAGACATAGGGGCGTGGCCAAAAGACTTTCTAATCTCCTTACCTGGGAAATACCTTGAGTAGATTCCAACAACTGTGAGGTTGGCCAGGACCGGGCAGTGTTTCCTGTTGTTGTACATATGGTCGCTATGAGTCCGTACTGATTCGATGGCACCTAACAACAACAATAAGAGAATACAACTGCCCCATAGGATTTTTTCCTCCAAGTCCGCCTTCTTTAAGGAAGCAGGTCATCAGGTCTTTGCTCCCAGGGAACGGCTGGTGGGTTTGAACCTCTGACCTTTCAGTTGGCGCCTAACTGGGTTAACGTCGAGATCCCTTGGCCTATTTAATGACTATCAGCTGTGTTGTGTTAAAGGCTTTACCTGCCTGATCTCAGTGAATCTTCACCTCAGGGAGGCACTACTGGCCTCTTGTATAGATGGGGAAACTGAGGCTAGGGAAGGTTAACTTGCTCAGGATGGTGTGTATAGCTGTATAGTTGGGGTATCCGTTGACTGTTTGTGATCAACCCCTGGGGGATCCCAAAGCAGGTTTCACAATGTGCTCCTCCCTCCCCCCCGCAGCTATGGCAGTTTGGGGAATGGGTGGACGTGGTGGTGGATGACCTGCTACCCACCAAGGACGGGAAGCTGGTGTTCGTGCACTCTGCCCAGGGCAATGAATTCTGGAGCGCCCTGCTGGAGAAGGCCTATGCCAAGTGAGTTACAGGTCCACTCACCCTGGGGTAAGGGCTTCTGGTCCCCTTACCAGATAACCTGCTCTGTGTCTGGAGTACTCACCTGGGGCTGCTCATAGGGTGAACGGCAGCTACGAGGCCCTGTCGGGGGGCAGCACCTCAGAGGGCTTTGAGGACTTCACAGGTGGGGTCACCGAGTGGTACGAGCTACGCAAGGCCCCCAGCGACCTCTATAGCATCATTCTCAAAGCGCTGGAGCGAGGCTCCCTGATGGGATGTTCCATTGATGTGAGTGCCCCTCGTACCCTGGCCTCATCCTCCCCAGATGCATCTCCAAACCTCCGTCCATAACGCAGCTCCATCTCTGCTTCCATACCAGCCCGCCATCACTTCAGGCCCATCTGGCACGCCCAAGACCGCTGTCATTCCTAGCCCCGCCTCCATTCTTATTCCGAACCGCAAGTGGCCGCTCTTCTCTCTTCCCACCCCACTCTTGACATCTTAACACATGCCTGCCCATTCACTGTCCAGCCGGGGACCCTGTTTTGTCCCCAGTCTCAGTTCCCAGCCATCCCCAGTCTCACTCCACTCCTTCCTTACTCTTCAGTTCTCAACGGTTCATTTCCTGACGCCCCCTCCCATCCTTGATCCGAATTTACCCCCAGCATCATGTCCTCCTCATCTCCAGCCCCACCACACCCCACTTCCCCATCCTGTGCCTATCCTTAGCACGCATAGGGGCTGTGTGTGACTATGTGGGTGCACATGTGCTCCCACTGCTGGCCAGTCCTGACCAACTATGTGGGTGCCTTGCTCTCCTCTGGTAGCACTATGGCTATGTGGGAGCGATCGGGGTCCTTGACGGGGTGCTAACCGGATCCCTGAAGCCACCCTGAACACAGTGCACTGTCTCTGTAGATCTCCAGTGTTCTGGACATGGAGGCTGTCACCTTCAAGAAGCTGGTGAAGGGCCATGCCTACTCTGTGACCGGAGCCAAGCAGGTACCATGTGGATGGAGCACCTTCCCTTGGACACTGGTTCATTCCTGCCCCCTTGCCTGTGAACCTCCTTGGTGTCGGACCTGGGCCCTGGGAGGGGCTGGTCCTCCCTGACCTGTAGTACCTTGTTAGTCTTGTCCCACAATGTTGTTGTATCTTGCCCTGATTTATTGACCTCCTGTATTAGACAGTTCCCACAGGGCCAGCTTCCCATAGTGTAGTGCTAGATACCCACTGGGCTGGCCCTAGACGAGGTGGTTTGGGTAGGGGTGTCATGGGACATGCAGGATGCACACACTAATGGGTACTCTGGGGACCAGGTGAACTACCAAGGCCAAATGGTGAGCTTGATCCGGATGCGGAACCCCTGGGGCGAGGTGGAGTGGACGGGAGCCTGGAGTGATGGGTGAGCCTGGGGCACTGGGAGGCTGGCATTTTTGCCCAGGGCTCTGCTAGCCTGGGTGGACTCAGGATTTAGTAAAGGGGTTCATCTTCATGTTACTGGATCTGGGGCAGAGGGTGGGTACTGTCCTGATAGAGGGCCCCTATACCCAGATAATGGGTATCCTCAGGCCCTCTGATGTGTCCCTGATAAACAACCCTCTAGAACTGGGACCTTGAGGCTTGACATTCAGGAGACTGACCTGGGCTCGGCCAGCCAGTCACCACCAGTCCCTGGCAATGCCTTTCTCCCTGCAGTTCCCATGAATGGAACAATGTGGACCCTTACGAGCGGGAGCAACTCCGGATCAAGATGGAGGATGGAGAGTTTTGGTGAACACCCCACTAGCTTGGCCTTGCTCCATGCCTTGTCCCCATGCTTCTAGTCCCTCGAAATGCAGTTTGTGCTGCCTCCCCCTCTACCCTGCCTGGAGACGGAGGTTCACTTGTGTACCTTTACCCCCAGGATGTCATTCCGAGACTTCATGCGTGAGTTCACTCGCCTGGAGATTTGCAACCTGACCCCAGACGCACTCAAGAGCCGTTCTATCCGAAAGTGGAACACCACGCTCTACGAGGGCACTTGGCGGCGGGGGAGCACTGCCGGGGGCTGTCGCAACTACCCAGGTGACTGGTGCTCTTGGGATTTAGGGTAGGGTCTGGGCTCTGCTGCTTCCTGCCTCTGGGAATTTAGCAAAGCTTGCTACCTCTCTGGGCCTGAGCATCTTCACCTTGAACATTGACCACCAAGATTTGCTTTGGGAAGTAAAGTACTTATCTAAGGAGCCACACTTGCCTCACCATTCTGGGGCTTGAGCCCAGGGTGCTAACAAGGGAGAGGAAAGGAAGAGGGGATCGAAGTTGAGACCTTGGTCCTCCTCCTGTTCCCTCTCACCCACCTGTTACTCTTGCTCATTCCCTAAACCTTCCCTTCTCCCCACTGTCTTCCTCCCTTCTCCTGTCTCCATTTCCTAGGCTTCTAGATCCATGCAGATGACCTGACTTACCCCAGCCTCTCAATTCCATCACATCCAGTAGACTTTTCTCCACTTTAGTTCAGCCACCATGCAGTTAACAACAGAACTGGTCTTGCTAACTAACTGCTCACCCCCAAATCCAAACATCCCACCCTCTGACCTCCACCTGAACCCTTCCAGCTCCTTTACCCCAGTCTTCAGTGCAGTATAGTGTTTGGGCCTCATTGGCATATCTGATCCGTTGAACACACTGCTCAACACTCTGCTTCATTACCTATCTTGTCGTCTTACCCAGTGTGGAATCCATCATGGTTACCTTGTCCCGGCACAGCCTCTCAGTTTCCTGGCCCCTCTGTTTCTGTTCATCTCATAAACACAGTCCAAGCCGAGCCCAGCTCTGTACTTTTCTGGAAATGTTGGACATGACAGGAGGGAAGTCACACGCTGGGGCGGTGTTTTCCCTGTAAATTCACAGCCACAAACCTCAAATGAGTACTTTGTGTGGTTCAGCAATTCTACTACCATAGTCTCCTCAAACCTCCCTGCCCTGTGGCTCCCAACTGAGGACCTGGCCTTTCATGTCTTTAAAAAGACAGACATCATCCCACACAGGAGAATCTCGCAAAGTCCTACTTCCACATACCCTAGCTGGTCTGCATTTTTGCCTGTCTTCACTGCCTCCTACGTGCAACAGTGGCAGGACCATTGCTGCCCATGAGGACCCCCTGCTCCTGCTCCTCAATCCATTCCCTCACCTCAGAAACCACTTGTTCCTTCCCCACCCCCCTGACTGTTGAATGGCTGCTGAGTCTCCCATCAGCACTTGCATGTGATAGAGACTCCTATCTCCTCCCTTGACTCTGCTTCCCCACCTACTCCTCTGCTCCCCTTAAAGCAACATTTCTCAAGAGTTGTTACACTCTGTTTCCTTTCTGGTTTCTAGTTCAGCTTTTAACCCCCACCAGTCTGGCCCCTGTCTCCACCACTCTGCTGAAGGTCACCCCCACACTTCCTGCATTGCCAACGCTGCCCCAGTCCTTTCTCTCATCCCTCACCCACCAACCGTTCTCCACACAGCTCATGCCGCCCTGTTTCCTCACAGCCTGTAGGAATCCTATTTCATTTCCCCCCAAATGAAAACCACGTTTCCCAGTAACAGATTGAGAAGTTCACCCTGTACGTACTGACCATTGTGCTAACTCTGTCATAAAGGGGTTGTTCTGATAGGCTACACTTGAGTTGGCTTCAAGTTGCCACATTGATGTCATGATTGTTGGGATGTACAAGTCCATTGTTGGAGCCATTGTCTAGTGCCTTCCAAATTAGGGGCTCATCTTCCAGCACCATATCTGAGACTATTCTGTTGTGATCCCATAGGGTTTTCATTGGCTGATTTTCAGAAGTAGATTGCCAGATCTTTCTGTCTTATTCTGTCTAAATTTGGCAGTTCCACTGAAATCTGTTCAACATAGGTGACCCCAGTGGTAGTTGAAATACTAGTGATGTTGTTGTCATTGCTGTGTGCTGTTGAGTTGATTGTGACTCATAGTAACCCTGTATAGGGTTCCTGAAAGTAACTGGGGGGTTTGAACTGCAAAGCATGTGATTAGCTGTCCTACAGTGCCACACCAGAGCTCACTAGTAGCGTTGTTGTTGTTAAGTGCCGTCAAGTTGGTCCTGACTCAGTGACCCTGTATAGGGTTTTCAAGGAACAACTGGTGGGTTTGAACTGTTGACCTTGTGGTTCATAGTCCAGTGCTGACCCTACAGCACCACACCATAGTCACTATAATATGACGGGTAGATGGTGGTGGGTCATAACTATGCTTCCCGTATATGTGAGGGTCCATTTCTGGGCTTGCTGTTCTGTCCCTTGGTCTCATTGTCTATCTCTCTGCCTGTTGTTTTAAGTGCTGTCAAGTTGGTTCCACCTCATAGTGACCCTGGTAAGGTTACTGAGGAGTGGCTGGTAGGTCTGAACCACCTACCTTGAGGTTAGCAGTTTAGTGCTTATCCTACAGTCCCCTTTATTTATTTATTAATGTTTTATTGTGAATTATATAATAGTTTACATGTTTACATGAGAGAACTTTAGTTTTACATTCATTCCATCGTATATCATTTCATTACCATGGTTCCAATCCCCTCATGCATCATCAACCGACCAGAGGGTATATCCTAGAAACCCGCCCTCTACTCTCCTCCCTCCCCCTCCAGTCTTTGGCCCACAGGCCCTCTCCCTCTCTGGATCCAAAGTCCCCAGCCACTTCATCACTCCATGTCATCGTCTCTGTCTCCATCTCAGGGATCTCTGGTTCTCTGGGTAGGGTCCCGCTCTCGGCTCTTCTGCGTTGATGGTCCTAGAGACCTCCACTCCTAGACTGGAGAAATAATCGCTCCCTTCCTTGCTATAAAACATCTACCTTTGCACAACCCTCATAATCAGTTCTGATAACCATTATTCACTACAGTATCACTAGTTACCCATCGGTATTTCATTTCATCAGCTCCGCCTAGACAGATTGGATAGTACTCACTGGAGATTCTGCCTTCCTCCATGCCCCCTAGCTCTAGGTTCCCTCTTGAAAGCTTGTAAGCCAGTCACTTCTTGCCTTTGTAGTCCCCTCCTCCCCATTTGGGTATCCAATGTCCAAGTTGCCCATCTCTGCCCACTCTGTGTGTGGAGGGGGTGGGAATGTTTCTTGCTGTAAGGATTTGTTCCTTCTTTTGAGTCACTGCATCCGTAGGTATAGGTCAAGTTCATCAGATTGTATCAGCTCACTCTTTTTTTTTTCCTCTCCTTCTCCTGGTTGAGCTCTGATCATCTAGTCATCTGGTTCAGGTCACGTGGGTACTATCTGCAAGTGTGGGTGTTCTTGTGCCCATTCCCTCTCTTCCCATCAGCCGGTAACTCCACTCTCCACTCGAGTCCTCCGTGGCCACGCCGCTGACTGGGCCCAAGAGTCCCCAAGTCTCCTCTCACTGCTTGCCAAGTAGGTCCCCAGCTGGGTCCACAGAACCCCACTGAACATTGTAAGGCTTAGCTTGCCGCTTCATTGCTGCTTTTACCCCTCTTCCCCCTATCAGTGATGCGTGTGGTCACCAATCAGAGCGTGTATTTCCGTTGGGTCTTAGTCTTGGAAGTTCTCCACTTTATTTTTGTCTTTTTGAATGTCTTTTTGCAATTAGCTCTTTATCATTTGTTGTTATAAATGGTGTCTCTTTTACGGTTACATCTCCCAAGCAATACGGTGAAACCCAAGAGAGCAGATTAATAGACCAAAGTTAATGTCATTAAGATAAAAACTTCATGGTCATGAGGTCATTTTTTAATTTTACATTTAAATTCATGAATGAGATTTATCTAGAATTTTCCCCTTTCATATTGACCTTGTCTAGTTTTGCTGTCTTTTGGCAGCCCATGGCATTTACCAAAAGAACCAGTAAATCCATTGTGGATGAAGTATAGCCAGAGTGCTCCTTGGAGGCCAAGATGGCTAAACTTTGTCTCTCATGCTTCGGACATATTGTCAGGAGGGAGCAGTCGCTGAAGAAGGATACCATGTTTGGTAAGGTGGAGGGTCAGAGAAAAAGAGGAAGACCCCCAATGAGATGGATTGGCCAAGTGGCAGCATTGATGGACTCAAGCGTGGCAACAATAGTGAGGTTGGCCCAGGATCGGGCAGTGTTTCGTTCTGCTGTGCATAGGGACGCTATGAGTCGGTGCTGACTTGATGGCACCTAACAACAACAACAACAGTTTTGCTCTCAATGCCACATTTGTTTTTTAGTTTGTGTTATCATTCTGTTATTTCGCTAAAAGGTGTGATCTCATCTTAAGTAATAGTTTTGGCTCAAGGTTTAAAGAGTATCTCAGAGTGGGAGTTCTCTGGTGTCAATTTGTTTAGTAAGTTTGAACTTTGTAAGACTTTGAATTCTATGCTGCATTTTTCTTTTATTCTATCACGGTCCATTGATGTGACCTTGGCCAGAATGGTGAATTGTGGTAGCCGGGCACCATCTAGTTCTTCTGGTCTCAGGGTATATGAGGCTGTCGCTTGTGTAGGCCATTAGCCCTATAGACTGTTTCTTCTCTGAGACATTGGTTTCCTTCTTACTCTTTTGTTCCTGATGAGTAGAGAACAATTGTTGTACCGTACATAACTGTTCACAGCTTTTTTTTCCCCTTAACTTTTGATTGTGAATTGAGTGAAGATTTACAGAGCAGATCATCAGTTTTGCATTTCTTGCAATCCCCTCTATGTAACATCCCTTATCCCACTTCCTCCCTGTGGTTCTTGTTTCCATTCCTCCTTCTTTCCCAACCCTTCTGAATTGTGTCCTTGGGTAAATGATGCCCTTTTGATCTCAAATGGTTGACAATTCTATGGTCTGTATGCCTTACTAGTACTGATGTCTTCTCTAAATATCTACTGATTGCTTGGCTAAAAACTGAGCCATAGGGTTTTTTGTTTTTGTTTTTAATGTTTTATTGTGAATTATGTGATAGTTTACATGGGAGAACATTAGCTTTACATTCAT